AGTCCAAACATGATAATTTTTTTCATGTGTTTCTTAGAACAATTTTTTTTTATTGAAATATAATCCCTAAAACTAGTTGGTTCCTTATAAGGTAATATACAGTAGAGGCGGTGGGGTAGCTTAGTGGTGAAAGTGTTTGCTCATTATAATTTATATCAAATGACCAGGTTTAATTACATGCATGGGGACCCGTGGAGATCCGGGGTAGAATAGGTCTTCAGCAACCCATGCTTGCAACAAAAGGTGACTATGCTTGTCGTAAGTGGCGACTAACAGAATCGGGTGGTCAGGCTCGCTGACTTGGTTGACACATGTCATCGGTTCCCAATTGCGCAGATCGATGCTCATGCTTTTGATCACTGGATTGTCTGGTCCAGACTCGATTATTTACAGACTGCCGCCAAATAGCTTGAATATTGCTGAGTGCGGCGTAAAACTAAACTCACTCACTCAAGTGTGCCCTGATGGGTAGTTCTCAGCATTTATAAATGATTCCAAAACTGAAGAATACCATTTCAAGAACTGATAAATAAGAGGTTGATTTATAGCTATAACGCCTACGAGGATAAATTACGACATTTCCATCAATAAGTACCTTACACACTAAGAACAATAGAATAAACTTGTTAAATTATTAATTTGGAAAATGATACCTGTTATTTCATTACTATTGTGGAAAGTAGGAGATAAATGTCTGTTTTCTGAAAATGATATTTGATATTGTAGGTTTCAACCTGAACCAAATATCAGGTTTCCAATCAGAGTTTGAAAGCTAAAAATTGAAATACATTTAACCCCACAAATGATGACAGATGCAAACTCTTTGGTAATGGCGGAAGTGATAAGTTGGGTGGCTTTGGTTCAGTCTAATGGATGATTTCCAGGGATCAGTGCCGATTGTTTTTAATCTGCACTTTAGCTTTTAAATTTCCTATGTATAATTTACACTAATGTATGCGAACCACTTCAAAAAGATACAAAAAAAATCATCAAACGCATATATCCTTTGAGCATTGTTCCAGCTGTCATCAAAATAGAAAATTCCAAGCATTATAATGTAAAAGACAATTTTATGCAATTGAACAGCGCAAAAAGTTAAACTCAGTTCATGTTACTGAAATTGACAATACACTCTAAATCAATGTTGCCATGTTTTTGCTCAAAATATATTGCCGAACTTCTTAAGAAAATCTAGGAATCATAAAATGTTATGAAAATGTATATAAAAAGATCAATATTTGAAATTGCCTTTAGCACAAGTATGCAAAAAAAGTACTTTTAAATCAGTATTTCCTTTCAGCGTGATGCTGTCATCTGCAAATTCATAGTCTGATGTAGATTCATACATATCAAGAATATTGGGTAACAAATATTATAACAAATTTAATAGCAACTCAACAATTGATGTATTATTGAATTTATTCTGTGAAACAATAACAAAATAAATTCTGACGTGTTTTGACCATGTTGACAGTGTTAATTTATCACAACAATTGCCAGTGACCACATGTGCCTTAAATATATCAGTGTGTTGACTATTATTCAGCTGCTCTTGGATATGTTACAATTTGCATTTCTTGTTTTGATAATTAACACCCTAATTCAAGTATATACACTCCCTTTTACAAAATGCACGAATCTTCAAATCTAGTGAAGGGAATTACAAGTTCCTTTAGGAATACAGTTTGATTCACTGAATGTGCAAGTGAATAATGATGATGATGATGATGATGATGGTGATGATGATGATGATGATGATGATGATGATGATGATTTAGCGACTTAATACTCACTTTCCAACATAATGTGTATTTCGCCCACTGTCCCGCCAGGCCAGTTAGTGTTTGATCGAAAGAGGGGTGATTTGACCAAAACATATGGCAACCTGAAGGGGGCAGGCATTAAGGTTGCATAATTAATTTTTGTGTGAATTTTGAAGTTTAAAATTGGCCAAAAGTGGTAGGGGGAGCTGAACTGTGGGGTGGTGGTCTAGCACCTACCACTTCTTGCACATGTCATCATATTCCATTTGTGTAGATTAATGCTCATGCTGTTGATCACTGGATTGTCTGGTCCAGACTCGATTATTTACAGGCCGTCGCCATGTAGCTGAAATATTGCTTAGTAAGGCATAAAACTAAACTCACTCACTCACTCTCGCAAAGTTTATTATAACAGCCTCAGAATACACGCAGTGTTGACCCAGGCCAAGCTGTTAAACGTCACTACATAAGTAGCTGTATATCACCAGGAAACTAAGCTCAGATTGACAGCTGAGACTATTGCGTCACTTAACTCATGGTACCATGCCTATTTCATGTCCATTGCATCATGGTTGTTAAACATTGCTTGGGGTGACATTATAAGTTGAGATTATGGATGATCATCACACACACGTCAAGTGTCCCCAGGGCGTCAGAATGATGTTCTCGAAGCAGAAAATAATTGAAAATTCTTGTTGACATCAATTACTGCTCTAAATATGTTTAATAACAAGCAGGTTGAACACTTCAAGTTTCACCTTTATATATTTTTGGTATTCTTCAGTATCTTTAGAATTCTATGTATAGATACTGTTATTTCGGTATGTTCTTTTTCAGCCTTAGAAATTTGTAGAACATTGTTAGCTGAAGCAATGGTCTGCATACATGGACCATATTTGAATACTTTGGATATATTTTGGATATGTGAAGAATACTTGTAATCAAATTGAAAATGTTAAATCCAAGAGGATGGAAATAAGAGGTGTGTTCATTTTTAGACCTCATTTTTGCAATTTGTTTTTTGGGGGGTCTGTGGATATTTGGACCCAAAATACAGTTTTGGTGTTTCCTCAAAAATAAGAATTAGGGGGAGAGATGAAATTGTTGGTGCTGGGGGAATCAGGAAATAAAATACACAACAACAAATGCCATGTCTGGATTGGCCATTTGACATGTTTATTGCAGCAATATATTCTTGAATCAACAAATTCCAAAGTCTACTACTATTCCTTTTTCCTAACTTTGAGCAGGCGATGGGGTAGCCTAGTGGTTAAAGCGTTCACTCGTCACGCTGAAGACCCGGGTTCGATTCCCCACATGGGCAAAATATGTGAAGCCCATTTCTGGTGTCCCCCGCCGTGATATTGCTGGAATATTGCTGAAAGCGGCATAAAACCAAACTCACTCACTCACTCCCAACTTTGAGTGGTCTGCAAGTTAGTGGACCACAGGCTGGATACCCTTCAATGTACTGCATTGATATTGTTACTAATATTAAACCATATAGTCCTATTTTGTTTTGTTTTTTACTTATTTCTGGCCAGCTAAATTAAAAGAACACTGACAACAGACTTGCCTTACAACTAACTTTGAAAAGGAGTAATAAATCATATAATTAGTCTCTTTCTGAAACAGTGCACTTAGATAACATTTGCAGACATCGATACAAATGTACTTACTGCAACATTGACTGAAATATTTCTGTCAATGAGATTTTAACAAAGGAATGTTATTCATATTAATATGACTCATGCATTCTACTGCTGCATACAATATGTTCAAATATTGCTGAAGCAGAAATCTAAATATTTACATTATACTGCTGTCTGAAGTGATAAACGTGCAAAGCTGAGCACCGAATACATGGTGTGAATTGATCACTACAACAGTTTCAACTCACTGGTTAAATGTTCCCTACGGAGAAGGTTGGATTATCTCTAATGGCTGTAAATCCCTCTCATAGCTACCTCCCAACAACTTCAGCCTCCCCCTAGAGCATGCGGGATTCTCCGTTGAGAATACAGTAATTAAAAGTATGCTGATGGTCAATATCTTTACGATATTGATAAACTGAATGGACATCCCAGGGTGCAATATTTTGTCAATCCCGAGAAGCTTGGTCTCACACCGGCGTTGATAATACTCTTTAGGCCATCTTAGATGGACGTCCACTCCATCACCAGACAAGACAATCAGTTGGCAACATCCCCTCACCCTTCCCTCACCCTCATCCACACATAACCTGATAGCCTCCCTGAGCTGCGGGCTGGAGTGTCGTCCATTACACTGTCGTCTATTTCAGTTGTTGATTACACTGTGTTGATTGCCGCCAGCAATTAGGTTGCAATACGAAGCCAAACTTAATGTGGGAAACATTCGTCGAAGACTGTTTCATGTCATGGATATTAAAACATTTTATTATCATTTAACGACATTATACGAAGGGATATGAGAGTTGGTTGCACACCATATTGAAAGTGAGATCAGGAAATTACTAAATTTGAGTGGTGTTTAATCACACAAAGGGTTAATTGATTTTGATGTCAATGTCATGTAATCAACCAGATCCATCCTAAACTAATTACCACTAGTTTCTGTCCCCACATGGATACAATGTGTGAAGCCCATTTCTGGTGTCCCAGACTATACCCCGGATAATTGCTGGAATATTGCTGAAAAAGCTAGCCCAGATTATACCCCTACAGAAAACAAGTGATTAAATACTACTATAATTTTATTGTCAGTCAGTCAGTAGTTTCATTGAAATGGTCACACAGCAGTGTGAGATGAAGCTGGCAGGGTAATCAGCCATTGCACCCACTGAAGATCCGGGTTAAAATTGGTCTTCAGCTACCCATGCTTGTCGCTAGAGGCGACTTACGGAATCGGGTGGTCAGGCTTGATTGGCACGTCATTGTATCCCAATTGCATAGATTGATGCTCGTGCTGTTGATCACTGGATTGTCTGGACCAGACTCAATTATTTACAGAATGCTGTCATACAGTTTGAATATTGCTGAGTGCAGAGTTAAACATAAACAAACAAACAACAGTTATCAGCTGTTACTGTCAAAGGACACTATTTGTACTTTGTTAAGGTGATGCTACATCATCCAGAACCAGAGCCGACCATATTTGGCGATATTAGTTATTCTTACTCTGACATTAAATTGGGTGTTACATCACCAAAGAAATATTATCTTTCATACATGCTCAACAATTATTTTGTTTTTTCAGAACAAAGTCGTTGATGTGGAAGGAACAAAGGTGAAATTACAGGTAAGATACAACGTAACCTTAGTAACTATCTCAAGGTTAGATTTGGTCATCTTCAACCCATGCTTGTCGCAAGAGGTGACTAACGGGATCGGATAGTCAAGCTTCCTACCTTGATTGACGAATTTCATCGTATCCCAGTTGCATAGATGTTCATGGTGTCAATCACTTGATTGTCTGGTCAGACTTAATTATTTACAGGTTTATATCTTACAGTTTGCTGAATGCATATACAAAGTAATGACATTACAGAATGAAAAGTGAAATATGAATGTTTTGTTCAATATACATGTATGGTGATATTTCATCAATCAGAGAATTTGTATAGGACATGGTAATATGTTGCACAGTTGTTCTTTTCCCTTGCTTTACCTAATGTAAAATGGCTCAAGACATTTGGGTATTTTTTATCCATGTCTACTAAACCCGTTTGAGAAGGAAGACAGGGGTTATCTCCCCTGGTTTTGTAGTTGAAGGTCAATCCAAACAAACCTGAACAGGCCTGATTGCCAGGTTGATATATACAACCTTCAAAATTCATGCTAGTCTGCCAGCCTGAGACTACTAAATTGTGCGGTGGACAAGTGAAAACTAAGTGGTTGTATTCATTGACTGACTTGTGCTCAATACTTCAATTTTGGCACAAATTGCAAGTGAACAAAACTGACAAAAACATAAACACAGAAACATTCCTATTTCAACCAGGACTGGCTACAAACTGTAATGACTAATTCTCTGCACCAGTCTTCTTTACCCCATTTTCTTCAAGGAATGTAAGAGATTCAGTATTGGAGATTCAGTATTTTGGAAAAGAAACATTTCGAGTATTAATCGCTGACATGAAACTACATGTATCCCTTCAACAAATTCAGTTATTAATAAACATATTAATAAACTTGGTAAATAAAAATTGAAATTCGAGAATATCTCTAGACATAATGATTTACTACTTAAATTATATCTCCTGTTCTGCTTGGCTTCTTTTTATGTGAAGAGATTGATATCAGTGTGTGTATTTTCCTGTACACAAAACCAGAAATAGTAACCATGCTCACATCTCCTCCAATCTACCGATGATTCAGTTAAAACAAACCCTCTAAAATAACTTCAAACAAATTTCATGCAACAAACGGAAGAATTATGTCGTAAACTAGTGTTTTATCAGGTAAATGACTTTCTACGGCTGTCGAGACTTCACCGAAACATGCAACCATAAATATCCTTCATTCTGTATCAACTGTACAAGTGTAGAATCCACAATCTCAGAGTGACTACCAGATTGACGTCACAACGTACACCAGCTCGGTATTCAGGAAGCGTACTTATCAGTGTAATGGCTGATTTGTTTTGTGCCAGATGTTGAAATTGACGACTGTTTATCATAACACTGCTATTGATTACAGTAGGTGTGCAACAGCTAACTTGAACGTTTCATGCGATGAAAAGAACGTATTTCCAAGCACTGAGAGGCATGTTTTACCTAGGTATTGATTGTTCCCAGGCTAAATTAACACAGGAAATAACCTCACTTTGTATGTGCTTGCTGCGGATTAGAGTCAGTTTTGTGTTATGGACAACACTTGTCGTCCGAACACGAAGCAGCTATGTTTTTGCAGCAGTTTAAATGTGGGAACTTGTATTTAAACATCTGTTAGTTAGTATTTAGTATTGTAGAAATATTCTGATAGTTCTTTAGGGGTCACCAGTTCTGAATGTAATACATCAAATACCGTAATTCCTCTAATAAGCACCCGGTTTTTCAACGGACTTCCAGACCTGGTGCTTATTAGAGGCCCGGCACTTATTGGAGACCTGGTGCTTATTATGGTTACTGGGTGTACCGTAATTAATTGTTACCATGCATTACATCGAAGTTAGGGACCATTCCGTAATAAATCGATATTTGGATCAAGGGAGAATAAATTTATAGAAAACGTACCCAGTGCTTATTAGAGACTCGACGCTTATTAGGGGCCCCGTGCTTATTTCTTAAACCACTGCTTTACCTCCAGCGTTTATTAGAGGACGGGCGTTTATTAGAGACCCGGACCCTTTTAGAGGAAATACGGTAGGTTATATATGCTAAGGCTGCATAAGTATTCACCGTTTATAATTTATGGCTAGGGGGGTGATGATGATTTTTATGGAGAAGCATGTACAATGTGGATGACCCCCCCTAAAAATTATGTACAAAATAAGTGATCCCCCCTGCATGTCAATGCATGTACAAAATAAAAATTTCATCAATGTCAAAATGTCATCAAAAGCAAAATTACTTCAAGGTTAAAAGTTGATCAAAGTCAAAATATGAATATACCAAGAAAACACTGACTTTTCATCATCTAAAGTTGTATTTATTGACAACCTTCATTCATATAATCAAATAAAATTACATACAAATTCTGGGTGGCAATTGTCCTCACTACTATTGATAATAACTGGGTGGCAATTGTCCTAGGTAGCTAACTGGTACTAACTGGTATGAAAGGCTGGATGAGTTTATAAATTTCATTAGTTTACATGTCATTTGCTAATAAATTCAGCTGAAATGGCACATCAGTCCTTTATAGATTTTCAACTGGAGGATGACTGCAAATGTGTTTGGTTCTTTTAAGTTTGCACCAGATTTGCACATGAATCATTTAATAACCTTATTTATCACATTGATGACATTTTCGGTAACAAATTGTGTAACCATGGTAACATGCCATATCAGTTTACCACTGAATCCTGGAACTATCCTGGGGCAAAATAGATCCAGACTACCAAATGTTTGTAAGGACAGTACATAATTGTTCCAAGTTCACACAGAGATTTGATTCAGATATTACTAAGTAAGTATGTATGCTGAAATCTACCAGTAATTTACAGTGAGACAACTGTGTTTAACTTCAGTGTAAATGTTGTATTAGTTCCCTGTGAAGACTGTAAATAATCAAGTTTGGACCGGGCAATCCCGGACATCAGAGCATCAGTTTGCAAATTGCAGAATATACCTACGTGCTTTAACTAAGTCAGTGAGCAAGACCACCCAGTCCAGTAAGTCACCTTTTATGGCAAACATGTTGCTGAAGACAAGCATTGGTTGCTGGAGACAAGGAAGTGTTGCTGGAGACAAGGATAGGTTGCTGGAGACAAGTGGGTTGTTCTTAACCACATCTCATGGGCACTCACCGAAAGTGCTGTCTCATGTGCAGTCAATCACTGGATTGTGTGACCAGGCCTGGGCCTAGATTTTCGAAGCTCTCTTAGCGCTAAGATAGTCGTAAGTTATTGTTAATGTATGGCACTTACGACTATCTTAGCGTTAAGAGAGCTTCGAAAATCTAGGCCCAGGATACTTATATAAGCTTGCTACGGTTTCACAGTTATAAACTTGGTATGAGGCTGACTCCAGTTTATACCAACATCAACTCTCTCAGTCATAACAGGTCTTCCAGTGAATTGTTGCTGACACTATCAACCATGGGTTTGTCTGAGAGTGAGTCTAGTTTTACACCACACTCAGCAATATTCCAGCTATATAGCTGCGGTCTGTAAATAATTGAGTCCGGACCAGACAATCAACTGATCAACAGCATGAGCATTGATCTACACAGATGGGATACAATGACATGTGTCAACCAAGTCAGTTAGCCTGACCACCTAATCCTGTTAGTCGCCTCTTACGACAAGCATGGGTTACTGAAGGCTCATTCTAAACCGGACCTTCACGGGTTTGTCTGAGAGAGGTGTCATCATTTTCAGATTAATATGACACAGCATACCAAAATTCATGCAATTTCAATCACTGTCATGCAGCATAGCAAATATCATTCCTTGGCATACATTTTAAAATATTTGTGTTTTTCATAAATTTCTTATTATTGTGATATATAATTGAAATGAACAAAATCACTCTCTTTCTTTTACTGAAATGCATCATCTGGCACGGTGGGCCAAGTTGTCTAAGGCACCCAAATTCAAACAGTTACATCCCTTGGGGATGCCAGGATCCTGTGAATGCGGTTCAGATCTCAGTTCACCTAAAGTATGTTTCAAGATCTGTCCCCACCATACTGTGCTCACTGGTTTCACTGAAGTATAAACGATGGAGACCTGCATCTCTACAGGCTCTCCTCCCTCGGAATACTGTATATAGTGGCGTTAAGACCCATCTTACTCAGTCACACTATTGAGAACCCCGTATGTTTTATTTGGGATTACACTTTCTCACTGAAGTACAGATTCTAGTACTTTTGTTGGGCTGACCACCCCTCCAGGAGTCTAACCCACACTTTCAAAGTCAGGCACCTAAACACCTGCACACATAGTCAGCCATGTAACCCGCTCGACATTAGTGGAAGCTGTGGTGGCTGAGTGGGTTAGATGGCTAACTTTGTGTGCTGGCGATAAGGTGCCTGACTCTAGTGTGGGTTGGAATCCCGGATGGGACTCAACCCAACAAACGTACTACAATCTTTACTTTACTTAGAAAGTGTTGGTTGAAACCCAACAAAAGTACTAGAATCTGTACTTTCCTGAGAAAGTGTAATCCCAAATATAACATATGTTACATTTGACCACTTTCTAAATGACATGGTGTATTCATCATGTACTTCTGTCTATGTTGGATTAATTTTACCAGAGATGAATTCTTTACTTCATGAACGCTGTTCTTCAGATCTGGGACACGGCTGGTCAAGAGCGTTTTCGAAGCATCACTCGAGCTTATTACCGTGATGCTAATGGTAGGTTGTCAATGTTGCGATTGTCATGAAATGTACAATGTTGCTGTGAAATGTACAACAAGTTTATCATTGCAGATATGGGACACTGCTGGTCAAGAGCGATTCCGCAGCATTACACATGCTTACTACCGAGATGCCCATGGTATCATTAGCACATGTCTAGCTGTCGTCACTGTCGTAACATTATCTATGGCTTGTTGTTATTTAGTTAACACTTCTGTCCTGTATTTTCACACTTCTAACGTTTAATTATTTTGGTGGTATATGACGCAATGTGTTATCGCTAGAAGTAGACTAGATACTAACAGTGTTGTCAATATCATTTTAACAAAGCTACAAAAACAGCATTTGGAACAAGATTCTGAATTCAAAATGTTTTAGCACAGGGATTTGTACAATCTCACTTTTGTCAATTTAAAAAGAATGCATGCTGTCAGTGTTTTACAAAACGACATTAATCAATATACATTCCTGCTTTATGAACCAAGATTTTATGTCAGTGGTCTTTGAAGTTTTATGTGTAACAGTGTTATCAATTTCAAGCAAATGCATGTAGTGGGTGTTGTTTTAAAAAACTACAATGATCAAAGTGAATCCCTGCTTTGTAAATCAACATGCTAAATCAACAGTCCCTCCCACACCTTTGTACAGTAAATGTACATAGCACTTTTGTCAATTTCAAGCAAATGCATCAAGTGTTATTGTTAATGGACAGTAGACAGGAGGTCAACATCACTAATGCTCGGAGATAGATGCACTTTGAAGACCACCTTTGTCAATTATATTAATGAACCTGTACCTTAACAGAATCTAATTCTCGCTGAGCCATCATGTTGACTGACCTGGCCAGTGGTTTGTCTGTCCATTACTTGTTGACCAGCCAGATTATGTCCGCTTCGAAGGATACGACTGAAGGGAGCCAATTCTACTGCTGAGATCCTAATCCTGGTTTTGAGACGATGACCTTGTGTATGGATGACCTCTGAGAGATTTTATGACTGCCTCATCACACAAATTTGACATAAAGCCTTCAGATATACCTTATTATACTTTGACTAGTCAGTTAAGCTCTCTAAATGATATTTGTTTCGATCACATAATTCTGAAAACAAAGACCATTTTGATAGTTAACATTACCGAATGTTACCTCTCATGTCTGACGTGAAAGAGGCAGAGGAAAGCCGTGTAACATGACAAGTCACTCAGTGCATGACTGAGGATGGTTTTACTCCACTTTCAATTGCTGGAATATTGCTAAAAGTGGCTTAAAACTAAACTCACTCACTCACTTACTACTCCACTTTGAGCAATATTCCAGCAATATCTTGACAGGGGATACCCGAAATGTGCTTTTGAGTGGAACATATAATGTATCAGCAAAATGAACATATCCATGTTCTGAACTCATTCAACAACCTTAACGTAAAAAGTAGGGCAAGAACATGTACAGTTAACCAGGGTGCCGTTGTACAAAACAACCTTAGCCCTAAGACAACCTTAAGTCTATGTTAAGGTATGGGAGTTACAGTCACCTTAGCGCTAAGACAATCGTAAGTCTATGTTAAGGTATGGAGTTACGATCACCAGAGCGCTAAGACAATCGTAAGTCTATGTTAAGGTGTGGGAGTTATGGTCAACTTAGCGCTAAGACAATCGTAAGTCTATGTTAAGGTATGGAGTTATGATCACCTCTGCGCTAAGAAAATCGTAAATCTATGTTATGGCATGGAGTTACGATCACCTTAGCACTAAGACAATCGTAAGTCTATGTTAAGGTATGGGAGTTCGGTCACCTTAGCGCTAAGATCGCTTTATACAATGACACCTTGGTCTCCAGGAACCACCCCTGACATAAGTTGTTGTAGTTACCTGTTGTCTGCCCCTCCACTGAAGGCATGTCAATACAACCTGCATGGCATTACTGATACGGTTTGGGTGTATTATTTAACTGTGTTATTTATGCATGATGCACAAATTGCCACATTTCATTTCCTGACAGACCTCAGCAGAATGAGGATGGTCGTTTTTCATGCACAGCTGTGTATTTTGTATGTAACATGTGTATTGTCAGGTGTTGGCTGTTCATCTTAATGCATATATCTAGGAATTCTATTTCCATGTTCATTATTTCTGTGCATTATTTCATTATTTGTGTAGTTTGATATACCGTATTCAACATATTTAGCAAGAAGTAACATCCTTCCCCAATTCATAAAAATTCCTGTTAATACCATTTATTTATTTATGCTTCTGACAAGTTTGAGAAAATAGTTGTTAATTTTAAATAACTCCCTATAGTATATGTCCAACCAACAAATATACCTGTTGATTGACTGTTTTGACCTGTTCCTAATTAGCACTGCCTGTGGAATTAAATCATCTAAGCGCCCGGGGTGCTTAATACTTTGAACATGGCATACCTCCACAGACTTACCTATTACCATTCTAACAGTAGCCCCAAATATTGGGAATCAAAGTTTCTGGAATTAAGCTTCCATTCGAAGAAAGCACCTTTAAAAATTTGCTGTTAGAGAATGTCATAAAAGTGATGCTCAGCTATGTGTTGAAGGACTTTACTGGGAAATGTCAACTTTTTGGGCCCTTGGTGGCAGGATTACAGGGGAAGAAATATGAAACCAAAGAAGAATCCTATTTTCCTAACATTGAGGGAGTGTGTCTGAGTGCACTTGGTTTATCACGTCTTTCAAGAGTATTTCAGTTGGTTTAGCGTGTTTGGGAAGAAAGGGAGAAGTATGGAGGTCTCAGAAGTTAACCTCTTTGATGAAACCCACCAGCATGTGAATGGCGCTAATGAATGTTGACACAAAATCAAGTTGAATTATGGATTCAAACCTATGATCAATGAATTCGGCACTCTTATAGGATGCAGCTTTACATAGCGAATTGATCATAATTCAAACCTTATGTAAAACCTAACCAAGGTAAAATTAATCAGTACATGTGATAATGTAAAAAAATCAGTTCACATTAAGAGGTTTTGTTTGTATCTGATCAATATCTGCGGACAATTTTGTAAAATTTCATATTCTTACAGATCTGTTACAGATTTTGATATGTTTGTCTTAGGAGTTAATTTCAATTTAACTTTTTGTCAAATGATGGTGTTATATTTTCCAGCTCTTCTCTTGTTATATGATGTCACAAATAAAGCCAGCTTTGACAACATCAGAGTAAGTAGATGATTTTTAAAAATTCATCATAACTTGAACTGTCATATCAAATTTAAATTGATCATCTATTATAGAGAAGGATGAAACATTATTGAGAGAATAGAAAGGGAGTAATTGTAAACAAGACTAGCAACATTATTTGATGATCGGTAAATTCTGAAAAAAATATATATACATATCTCGATGAGTCGAATGCGGTGTCTCAATATTCAATGCATATTTCGAAGTACCTGTGGGCATAACCATTCCCTGTTATAGTTGTCATCATTTGATTTCCGTAACACTAATTGCCTCATAAATGTATACGATGACTCGAGAAGGAAATTTGGTCCCATGAGATTCAAACAACAGCAATCCTGCTTGTATACATAAGCCGAAGTCAGTCAATGAGAAGAACTGATAAGGTGCCCCTATTAGTGATATGGAAATCATTAGATAAACAAATGCTTAGGCGGAGGAATTAGGACTGGATCATCTTTATTTCTACCCTCATAGACATACCTATGTCTCGAATACATCGATGAGTCGAATTTATTACTTGGTCCCCAGCGATCCGACTCATCGGGATTTCACTGTATAAGTCTTTTGGGTATAACCTTCAATTTGAAATAATGTTTAACTGTGTATATGGTACATTCCCAATGGTCTCAAGACACCCTGCTCAACAGCTATAGCAGGGTTTTAAACAACACAGAAATGTGTTTCCAGTATGCATATATAAAATGGAGGCAACAAATAATACTATATAGGTTGTGTTCTTAGGGTTGTGCAAGAATATTCATTGTACGAAACACTTGACAAGAAATATAGGTTCCTGAAATTAGCGTAATTAAATTCATAAATCTTATGGTTTGGGTAAACCCCTTAGTTTCAACACTTTACAGGACCTTCATGTTTGATATCAGGACATTTGACTTCATTGATGGACATTTTAGAAGTTGAGGTGATGAAGAATGATATGATAATTTTATAGCTATACAACTTCTATATTCTGTGAAAGGTGACGTTTCAACATAGATTCTAATGTTGTTGTCATCACTTTCATAGAATAAAGACGTTGTATATCCATATAATTATCATCATTCTTCAGGACATTTGAAATTAGTAATTGGGGGTCACCTTGACCTCAGTTTTCATAGGTCAAGCTAAGGGCCTGTGAATAATGCATTTGCCTCATTAGCTTTGTATGCAGAAGCCATCTTTAATGCCCTCTTGTAATACATCTGCATTTCAGGCCTGGCTAGCTGAGATTAATGAATATGCACAAGAAGATGTTGTGATCATGTTGCTAGGCAACAAAGCAGACATTGCTGGAGAGAGGGTTATTCGGAGAGAGGATGGTGAGAGGTTAGCTAAGGTGAGAACTTTATGTCAGATTACTGACACGGTAGATCTGTATTACTATCTAAAGTAACACTTCAGTAGGTTGTTTCATGCCTTAGCACCAGTCCTCAAGTAAACACTTGACAGTTTTACTTAAATACTTTTGAATACTTGCTCAAGTACCAGTACAGCACGTTCATGATAAACTCCAGACCCTTCCTCATGACTGTTTCTTTCTACTAAGTGTAAAATATGTGTTTCATTTTCCAGGAATATGGGGTTGCCTTCATGGAGACCAGTGCCAAAACAGGCATGAATGTAGAATTAGCATTTATGGCAGTAGCTAGGTAAGTAGTATCTCTTAAAATATTTTCTTAAATCCCATAATTGGCAATTTTTTCGAATACCCAGAGACTATAAATATATGATCTCTGGAATACCCAATGATCATAATAAGAAATAAACACAATATAAGGCAGTATCCTCTTAAAAGGCTGTCTGAAATAGATTTGTTGATTTAGAATGTTAACAAATCCCCCAAACAAGGCTATCGAATCCATGTTACAAGCACATGTCTATCACAGTGAGTGATTTGAAGGAAGCAAATGGTCAAGTACAGATAACTCTTGTTGGTAAGCAAGACAGTGTCCCACTCAGAGGAAGAGGCACATTTTGGGTTCTGTGTCATTAGATCTAAGAGTCAGTGAGTTTAGTTTTACGCCATGCTCGGCAATATTCCAGCTATATGGAGGCGGTCTGTAAATAATCGAGTCTGGACCAGACAATCCAGTGATCAACAACATGAGCATCGATCTGCGCAGTTGGGAACCGATGACATGTGTCAACCCAGTCAGCGAGCCTGACCACCCGATCCCGTTAGTCGCCTCTTACGACAAGCATGGGTTATTGAAGATCAATATTGTAACCCGGACCTTCACGGGTTCATTGGATCTAAGACAAGAAGGAAACTGCAGTTTGTTGCGTCAGGAAAAGTGTATCAATATTATGAATATTCAACTCCTGTAGTTCTGATGACGAGAAAACACTAATAGATGCAACCTTAAATATTTCCTCAGTAATCAGTTTCCTGGGATCAGTGGGCAGATGACACAGTAATCAAGTTTTCTGCTCAGTCTACAGACAGTTTCCCCCCAATTACCCACTGCATGTATTTTTGTGTGTAGTGTCCTAATCTGCAAATCTTCTCATGTATTTTCCAGAGATCTGAAAATGAAGAAGACGCGTCGTCCCAATGAGCCGAAATTTAATGTAGCAGATTATGTAGAACAAGAGAAAAAGAATGCTAGCTGTTGCAGCTAGCAACAGTGGAGCCTGGCTGATGCCGTTGTCCAAGACCTAAAGCTTCCTTATGTTGGAAGTCACAGCAAGCCGAGAGGAGTTGTCTCCCTTTAGTAAAGCCCCCAGTCATCAGTAAAAACACTCCAGTTCATTTTCTACAATTCTTAGAACAGGTTTCATAAATTGCAATCAAATATAATATGGACAAATTAAGTATGTTATTTGCAATTAAAAGCTCCTTCGGCTTGCAATAGGATAACATTTTGCATAATGTCAAATGGAGATCTGTAGGATAATCAACCTGCACACTGTAATGAAGATATATTCTCATAACACTGCCTCTTGTTTGGGCATGTTCAAGGTGGACTTTCCACTTCACACTGTCTCCATAGCTGTTGAGTTCAGTGTTGAATGACTAAAAGGAATTAATAAATTGAATTATAAGCACCTCAATCAAAAGCCTCTCTTTTGGTAAAAAGCAGGGACTCCAGTTACATTGATCATAGTGTGCGATAATGTTCACCATTAACAATTTTGTCATGTGAAATATATTGCTTATGAACAGTACCTTTAACCCATGACATATATTACTCAAATAAGTTAAGGAGCACCCATTCTTTCTGTCGTTTATCTGTCATAGATGATTTATGGTTGTATGAAAGAACCAGATGTTCCCAAACTTGTTTTGAGTAGTATAATTGTCACATTTGGAAATGGGATGCACATTTTAAAAAATATCCATACTGTATCCTTTAACAGCTGTGACATGATACAGTCCATTATGGTTGCATATTGTTTAAATGACAAATACGTCAAAAGCAGATTTTTTTAAATCGGATAAAAATACTATCATTTAATCTCACAAAGGACAAGATAGGACAGGACCTCCTTGGACCACAGGATCAGCATTATTAAGTATTGAACAGTACTATTATTAATTGTCATGAAGGTTTATAGATATGTTCTCTGAAGGACATCTAGGCCTTCTTCATTTGAACAACTGTACGTTTGGGACAGACAAGAGTAAATGTACAGATGATTTGAAAATGTGTGAAAAAGTCTGATTTTAGAGTTTGGTCACACTTGTATTTTCATTTGAAGTTCTAAATCTGGCTTCATTCACTCATTTGAGTCATACTTATATATTTGATAATGTCAGAAGTTTGAAATCTGTAAGAGAGAGAAAGGGCTACCTTGGTAGTAGTCAGCCATTTGAACATGTCTTCTAATTGTTGTACCAACATTCCACAGTTTTGCTTCGTATAAATTTGACCTATTAGTTGGCCAGAAAAAGACCATTTTATTTCTTCAATGTACCTCGCAACTTAACAACACTGAAGTGCTGTTCAAAGTGGTTCTTTTGTTACTCCAGGTTTTGTTCAGTATCGATAAATAGCTTACAATTGTAACATGTATCCTGATAATCTGTTCACCCCTTTATGTCTGTTAACTATGGAATTAAGACATTCCTGCATTGTTCTGTGCCATAAACTTGATCAATATATTTAATGTGGCCACAATGTTTGAGTAGAGCTAGTCTATATCCTGATGCTAATATCCACAGAAATGAATATTGGCATGTTCAAATTTGACATTTTCAGCATTTTCAATGTATAGAAACTATACACATGAATTGTTTGATTTTATGTCACTTCAAAGCATAATGGTTAGACAACCTACAGTGCAATATTCTCAGATTGTTATATTTTCTCTAACAGTGAAACTGACTACAATGAAACCTCTATATACCGGACACTGCCGCTCCCAATGAAGTCGTCCAGAATAACAATCTCAAGGAGTAATGTCATATTTAAGATGCCTAAACACTCCTTACAGCTAATGTCCGGAATATAAAGGTTTATTGCATTAATGAGGTCTAATTATCAGTGTGGTTTTTTTTATTGTTTAGTCAACATTCGAATACTTTTAGCAGATAATAGAAGTTGAATGTTCATGTTATTTTTCTACTTTCCACTCTGTCATCAATGGTACCATGTGTGTGAGATTTAAAAATATGTCTCAGTATCTTAGTCAACACATTGTCGGTTTCATTACATGTATGTTGTCTTGAGAAGAGCGTTTTGTGATTTAGTGCAGTTATTTCATGACATCAAACTACAAATAATGCCCTTTGACAAAAACCCTGTGGTAAGGACCACACAATATAATGCACATCCTTTAGTAATTAATTACAAAAAATAATCTCCTTGGAACACCCCTTGAAATCTTTTCTTTTCCACCTGCATATACTTTCAGCATTTATGTCCAGTGAGAAATGGCGTTAACAGTCTATTTTTCCTGTTTAGTTTGAGGCAATATTTATTTTTTTCACAATTTTGCTCAATTATACTTTCACTGTACATCCTACTGATATTGGTGTTTGCCATTTTCAAAACACATTTTTCGCAGTTGAAACTACATGAATTATGTGTAGCTTTGTGACATGAAAGATAAAATTATTTATTTCCTTGCCTGTGATAACACTTGACTGCAGATCCACAACTGCAGATGTCTACAGTAGGATTCATGCAAAGTGATTCTGAAACAAAGTGTATGCACTGTTAATTAAAACTGTAGATAGCGGTCACAAACCATCCCTGTTGATATGGACTTGAGACAATTCACTGCAAAACTGTACATATTTTCTTGTTAAGCATTTACTGTTAAATAGTGGCGTTTTCAGATGTTCAGTGATGTAATGTTTGGGATGTGTTAGAGAGTTTGGGTATTGATATGTAAATCATTTTTCATTAATGTCCTTGTAGAATGTTGTCACAGATATATTTTAGTCCTGTACTGTGTAATCAAATTCTTTCATGCTATTCATGAATAGTCAAACTTTTAATCATCAAATATATGTTTTCTTTTCTATAAATCATGGGCTCATGTTTATTATCGGAAACTGCTTCAAAATTTAAAAGCTGGAAATAAGGGTGATAGACCCGTTTCATTTTTCTGCTTTTCTTCTTTTCTCTGGTATTTTTTAAGATTAAACAACATGCTGACAAAAACCTGTATGATTCATTATTGGTTCTGTTTGGGGTTTTTTTAATTTAAAGTTGATGTGTTTACAGTTTTAGCATATATATTTACATTGCAAAAACTGCAAGTCGGCAACTAGTAACAGATTTTCTTGCTAAAATGTTATATGAGCTAGAACTGAATAGGAGAAAAAATCACAATTTAGGTTGTGAAATATATTAACATGACATTCGAAACAGAAATGTGCAATGTACAAAAAAGTTGTATATATCCAATGCTTGTATCTATTTCAAGTGACACAATAGTCCACTGTAGTTATCCACAAGAATCTCGATGTTGTCAGTGGACATAGTGGACATAGCACCAGACAACGTATAGGTAATGTATTATGTTAAACCAAGGTGCTGGTTTTGCTGTATAGGACTAATATTTTCTTATGTATTTGAGTTAAAGAACTGAGTGTACATATTGTGTGAAAAAGAATAATTATTTGTTTTTAAGGGCAAAGAAATATTTAGCCTTATTTTGAATTCATTTTGAAGAAAAGCCAAATTATTTTGGAGGATCGTAAATGTTGAATCAATTATTCATGCTTGATAAGATCTTGTAATTAATTTTATGGAAATAATTGTAATGTTTATTGTAGCAGACACAAGCACTGTAATGGTTACTTGTAGTAACACAAGCACTGTAACACTTACCTCTAGCAGACATGAGTGTTTTAATGGTTACCAGTAGCAACACAAGCACTGTAACATCACTGTAACGGTTACCTCTAGCAGACATGAGTGCTTTAACAGATTCCAGTAGCAACACAAGCACTGTAACAGTTACCTCTAGCAGAAATGAGTGCTTTAACAGTTACCAGTAGCAACACAAGCATTGTAACAGTTACCTCTAGCAGACATGAGTGCTTTAACAGTTACCAGTAGCAACACAAGCACTGTAACAGCTACCTCTAGCAGACATGAGTGCTTTAACAGTTACCAGTAGCAACACAAGCACTGTAACGGTTACCTCTAGCAGACATGAGTGCTTTAACAGTTACCAGTAGCAACACAAGCACTGTAAAGTTACCTCTAGCAACATGAGTTACCTCTGTAACGGTTAGCAGCAGACATGAGTGCTTTAACAGTTACCAGTAGCAACACAAGCACTGTAACGGTTACCTCTAGCAGACATGAGTGCTTTAACAGTTACCAGTAGCAACACAAGCACTGTAACGGTTACCTCTAGCAGACATAGTGCTTTAACAGTTACCAGACATGAGTGCTTTAACAGTTACCAGTAGCAACACAAGCACTGTAACGGTTACCTCTAGAGACACATGCTTTAACAGTGCTTTAACAGTTACCAGTAGCAACACAAGCACTGTAACAGTTACCAGTTACCTCTACAGTTACCTCTAGCACATGAGTGCTTTAACAGTTACCAGTAGCAACACAAGCACTGTAACGGTTACCTAGCAGACATGAGTGCTTTAACAGTTACCAGTAGCAACACAAGCACTGTAACGGTTACCTCTAGCAGACATGAGTGCTTTAACAGTTACCAGTAGCAACACAAGCATTGTAACGGTTACCTCTAGCAGACATGAGTGCTTTAACAGATTCCCGTAGCAACACAAGCATTGTAACGGTTACCTCTAGCAGACATGAGTGCTTTAACAGTTACCAGTAGCAACACAAGCATTGTAACGGTTACCTCTAGCAGACATGAGTGCTTTAACAGTTACCAGTAGCAACACAAGCACTGTAACAGTTACCTCTAGCAGACATGAGTGCTTTAACAGTTACCAGTAGCAACACAAGCACTGTAACGGTTACCTCTAGCAGACATGAGTGCTTTAACAGTTACCAGTAGCAACACAAGCACTGTAACGGTTACCTCTAGCAGACATGAGTGCTTTAACAGTTACCAGTAGCAACACAAGCACTGTAACAGTTACCTCTAGCAGACATGAGTGCTTTAACAGTTACCAGTAGCAACACAAGCACTGTAACGGTTACCTCTAGCAGACATGAGTGCTTTAACAGTTACCAGTAGCAGTCACAAAGCTAAAATGACTACCAGTCACGAAGGTAATAAGGCTTACAAGTAAGACATATATTTCAGTGATGTGTTACCTCTTACAACATGAGCAGTATGTAACATATAGTGGTACTTGTATTATACAAGATAGGTCTAGATGAGGAGTTGTGTCCAATATAACTTTCCTGTGTGTTTGTTTGAAGTATGTTACATTTCAGTGTATGGGTTTATTTTGTGTTGCATCTAAGATGAACAATGCAGATTGAAGTTGGAATAAATTGCATTTATGATTTAGAAATGTGTTATTTTTTAGCTTTATCAATGTCTCATAATCAGCACGAGTAGTTATTAAAGAAGATGAAAGGAGAAGATGTATGGCACAATGGGAAGGTGCATCGATCTGAGCAGCTGGGAGTGAGTGAGTGAGTTTAGTTTTGCGCCACACTCAGCAATATTCCAGCTATATGGCGGCGGTCTGTAAATAATTGAGTCTGGACCAGACAATCCAGTGATCAACAGCATGAGCATCGATCTGCGCAACTGGGAACTGATGACATGTGTCAACCAAGTCAGCGAGCCTGACCAGCCGATCCCTTTAGTCGCCTCTTACGACAAGCATGGGTTACTGAAGATCAATATTCTAACCCGGACCTTTATGGGTGCTGAGTAGCTGGGAATGATTTAATGATGGAGTAAGTGCATCAGTCGATACTGGAGTATGACCACCTATCCTGTAGGCATCTCCTCCGACAAACACTGGATGCTGAAAACGGATTCGATACTGTGAAGCATTTGCCCCAAATTGCACCACAAGCAGTTGGTTATTGACCAAGCAGTTTATCTGAGGCTTCGGGTATTTCCATGGTTTCATGTGGTGAAATGTCATTACCGATTGGCATGTGCCCCAAACTGCAGTAGTGAAGATGGACCCCAGGAATGTCTTTTAAAGGGGTTTGTAATTTTGCCATTTGTAACATGACAAACAAAATAAGAAGAAACACAATTGGAATAAACCCATTCTGCCCCAGCTAGCAATTGCACAAACTCTGATTCCCTACATGATAAAATGTTGTTTTTCCCAGAAGGCCTATAATACATTACTAGTGCATGTTAGCACCATTACATTAATTGTTTGACCAAATAATGTGAATGTAAACATCGTTACATTAATTGTGTGACCAAAGAATGTGAATGTAAACATCGTTACATTAATTGTTTGACCAAAGAATGTGAATGTAAACATCGTTACATTAATTGTTTGACCAAAGAATATGAATGTAAACATCGTTACATTAATTGTTTGACCAAAGAATGTGAATGTAAACATCATTACGTTAATTGTTTGACCAAAGAACGTGGTTCAAGTTACATCTCAAACAATGCCTCATATTTGCCCAAAACATCAGTGCTATGGACGTACTGCTAGACATTTCATAACTGAAGTCATTCTTTTTTATACTACAATCCAAGGCCGCATGAAATTCCACACAATACATTGCAAGGTCCAGCAAACCCGTCTTACTCATAATCCTTACTTCAATCAAGGAGAGCTGCCTGTTCATTCATTCTTTCATTCATTTATCCATCCTTGGTAAGTGTAATTAATACCACGTATCAAAGATGTTTGTTCAAATATGTCATGATATCATATTTTTCACCCAACTCCCACATAACGACTTCATTCTTTCAATCATAGGGAATCTATAATTGACAGTCATTACTATCGATGCAGTAGCATTAAGATCTTTGAAGGTTCACGACAGTTTGTTGAAAATGAAAGGAAATATCGTCTGCATCTTACTGAGAAAACAATAAGTGAAATGATTGAAAATACGAATGCTTCTTTTATGTTTGGGCATAGCGAGTTCTTATGATAAGAATAATGCACTTGTATAGCACCTAATTTCCAACTGGTGGCTGCTCAGTGGTGCTTCAAAAGGTTAAAAATAAGAATAAAATAAACAGAGTAATTAGTTGAAGAGATAGGTTTTCAAGTCACGGCGGAATGACTGGACAGAGTCCGCAGATTTAATATATGTTGGTAGGCTGTTCCACAAAGTTGTAGCCACAACAGAAACAGCCTGGCTAGCTAACTTTGTCCTCGTAAAGGGTACACAGAGCTGGAGTTGACCAGATGAGCGGAGTCTGCGAGCAGGGAGATAGGGATTGAGGAGGTCCTTAAGATAGGCTGGAGCAGTGTCACAGTGGAGGGCAGAAAAGCAGATAGTCAGGATCTTGAAGGATATACGCTGTTTGATGGGTAGCCAGTGCAGTTCTCTGAGAATTGGAGTGATGCATTCATGTAGTCGAGTGCTGGTTATGAGGCGGGCTGCTTTGTTATGACTAAATGCATGCATTTTTTGTTGCTAACGATATTAATGTACGCAGATGCAGTAAGACCTTATTGAATTATACACGGTTGAATTTGACAGTATATTCCTTACACGTCCATCACCAACCATAATGTTATCATCACCATCACAGATATCATTCTCATCACCAACAAGGCCATCGTCATCGTCATCGTCACCAACACAGACGTTATCATCACTAAAAACAGATGTCGTCATCAACGGAAATGTTATCACCACCAACAAATACGTCATCGCCAACACGACCAGTGTAAATTACGGATCTGTAGTTTAACCTCACCCTCCAACTACACAATTGCTTTATTTTATATGAACAGTAGATGAGATTTCTTGAAATAAAATAATTAGATCAGATAAGGGGAACGGACCCGTTGAGAGATGTTTTAATGCAGATATTCACAAACTAATGATTTCAGTGTAGTATAGCTATTGTTTAAGTGTACTTATTCCGTGGTTTTATATCTAGTCTCAGCATCTAATTACAATTAGGTTTCACATCATGCATGAACGACTTGTTATGCATGTGCACAAGGGGCAGTGGGGTAGCCTAGTGGTTCAAGTGTTCGCTCGTCACGCCAAAGACCCGGGTTCGATTCCCCACATGGGTACAATGAAGCCCATTTCTGGTATCTCCCGCCGTGAAATTGCTGGAATATTTCTAAAAGCGGCGTAAAACTAAACTCACTCACGCATGTGCTCTCAGACGCTAAAACTTTATCGTATCTGCTTATGTGATGAGATTTAACGTGCGCTTCCCGATATAATGCTTACTTTCCACAACACTAACGCAGCTAAGCACTCGATGAAAATGTCTCCGAGCGGGTATCACAGTGAACAAAAAAGGTGAATTATGGTAACGATTTTGTTTGGTCTGGTTTCATGGTATTTACGCCCCACTCAGCAATATTCCAGCTATATGGCGGCAGTCTGAAAATAACCGAGTCTGGACCAGACAATCCAGTGATCAACAGCGTGAGCTTCAAGCTACACAATTAGGATACAATGACATGTGTCAACCAAGTCAGCAACCTGACCACCCGTTAGTCTCTCAATCAAACTGATCATCTAA